TAAATGGAGAAACTGAGAGTTCTACGTGCTGTGAAAAGTCAAAACTGAGAATGCAGTGCCAGGGTATTATTCCTATTTAACCAATATATGACAAATTTTTGAAGATCTTAGTATGAGATTAATTCTAGTATTTTAATTAGCATTATTCTCTGCCTTTGTCTCATCTGCTTTGCTTAATGCTATTAAAAGTTCTTTGTAGGCCCGGGGGTGGTGGCTGCCGGTGTTCTCTGTAATCCTTGTCACCGGAGCCGAGGCGGGCGGATTGCTCTTGAGGTCAGGAGTTCAAAAAACCAGCTACAAGTAAGAAATGTTATTTCAGAGGGACAATAAATCGTACATATAAATTACATATTTGCCTTCCATTTCTGTTTAGCAAAAGTTTCAGGTGAAGTCTTTGATAAGAAGTGATCGAAATACAACGGTAAACAACTTGTTTTTGTTTGTTGGTTGGATGGCAGGAGTCTCACTTTGTTGGCCTAGGCTAGAGATGGAGTGCCTTGGCATCAGCCTGAGCTCACCAAGCAACGCTCAATGCCCTGGCGTCTAGGCGATCCTACTTGGCCTCAGCCCTTTTCCCAAGTAGCTGGGCACTACAGGCGATGCGCCACCGAACCCGGCGAAGTGTGTGTTTGGTGTGGTAGTATATATATGTTCATGTTGGTCAATTAATTTCTTTCGGTTATTATTGATAGAGTGAGATGGGTCTAAGTTAGTTGGTCAATTAATTTCTTTCTACGTTTGGTCAATAAATTTCTTCGTGTGCGTAGTGTTGGGGTGCGAGGTGTGAGAGTGTTGCTGGGTTGGGTCAATGGAGTGTTTAGTCAATGTAATTTCTGGTTAGATAAGTTAATTGGTCAATCTTGTGCTATTTGGTCAATTAAGCATTGACCAAATGGCAATTAATTTCTTTGACAATTGGTCAATTTAGTTGGTCAAGTGATTTGTGTGGTCAATGTAAGTTGTCTTTCTATTTATAGTAGAGATTGAGGGTCTCGCTCTTGCTCAGGCTGGTTTTCTTGAACTCCTGACCTCGAGCAATCCGACCCGCCTCGCCTCCCAGGAAGTCGCTAGGAGTTACCCCAGGCGCCAGCCAGCCTTGTATTTAGGAGACAGAGTTTAAATACTGAGAATGCAGTGCATATATAACTAATTTGCAGTTCATTTGTGTTATTTGAAATTCAATCAGACCATAACAAAACAAAAAGTAATATTGTGCTAGACTTTGAAAAAAATCTAGGCCCCTAGAAAAAATGTCTAGCTTTTCAAGGTTCTTTAGTTTGTCTGCTCTCTCTTAACTCTGGGTCCTAATTCCTTTGACAGCTTTCAGTTGATGCTTATTGTCAGATATTATGTGTTTGTCTTTTTCCCTTCTAGATTGTAAACTCTTTGAGATCTCCTTTTTTAGTACATATTTTGCATCTTCACTTCTAGCACAGAGCCTTGAGTATAATGGAAATTTTAAAAATATTCAATGATTGCCTAAAGAGGACCACTAGGATAGTACCTTCTAAACTATATTCTTTAGTTGAATGAGTTGGCCTGACTTCTATCATCACTATTTCCCATTCTGGAAAGGGGCAGTAGTCCTAACAGTGTTGGGAAAGGTGCCTTTTCAGATTAGCTGGTTCTAGAGTGTAAATCATTGATGTAACTTGCATATAGGAATGCTACTGGTACTATAGTGTCTCATAATCTTTCACAGTCTGTTTAAGAGTTATTAGTAACAATTCTGATTTTTATAATATGGTAGATGATATAACCTGAAAACAAAACTATAAAACACCTATATGTGCTAGGTAAACTTTAGCAAGTACTTTTTTTTGAGACAGAGTCTCACTTTGTTGCCCAGGCTAGAGTGCCATGGCGTCAGCCTAGCTCACAGCAACCTCCAACTCCTAGGCCTCAGCCTCCCAAGTTGCTGGGGCTACAGGCACATGCCACCATGCCTGGCTAATTTTTTCTATTCTTTTGGTTGTTTGGCTAATTTCTTTCTATTTATGGTAGAGATGGGGGTCTCGCTCTTGCTCAGGCTGGTCTTGAACTCCTGACCTCGAGTGATCCTCCTGCCTCCGCCTCCCAGTGTGCTAGGATTACATACAGGTGTGAGCCACCACACCTGGCCTAGCAAGTATTTTTTTAATTACATAGATGAGTGATAATTCCTGGCTTTTGAATGGCAAATTAATGGTAATAGTCATTTCTTGGAGTGATTATATTTAAAGTATTATACATTCTTTACTAAAATTTACCTGAGACTCTAAAGAAAAAAATTTAAATTTTTTCCCAATAAAACCAAGTATTATTGTCCTTCAGGGCAGCTTCATTATCAGATTTTTTTTTTTCATCTATTGACACCCTCCCCCCCTTAACTAGAACATTTAAATTCATTTTCGTGGCTAGTCAGTTACGATAGTAATGCTTGAAAATATCTTTTTGTTGCTTTGTACTCTTATCTTTGCCTGGAAAGGGAAATTACATATAGCTATAATATGTTTGCATGTATATGTGCATGTTTGCATTTATTTATTTTTTACTCATTTAGCACTCTTTTATTCCAGATGGGAGTAGCTCTCTGAATGAAAATTAGCCAAATATTTAGTCTGGGCTAAGGAGTGCAAAGCAATGTTGTAGAGGCTGAGAAGAATTCACCTTAATTCATTAAACAGGACAGAACCGTATTTAATAGGACCTATCAGTACAGAGTGGTTCTGTGATGAGTACCAGACACTGTTAACAGCTTAGGAATTTGGAAGAGGAATAAGTATCTGTTGGGTAAGGTTGGTTTGGTATAAATGGAGATTTGGGATATAGAATAAAGCTCACTTCTAGGATTTGATGTGAATGGAGAATTGAGAAGATTGGTATAATTAAAAGAAGATAATAGAGAAGGTTAGAGAGAGAAGTTAAGCCAGGTTCTGAGATCCTTACAGATCAGGCCTAGGAATTTGAACTTTCTTCTCTTTGGGGGAATAATTAAAGACTTTTAAAGTCAGATTTATAAGATTGATGTGTCACTCATGTGTAGAATAAACTTGAGACAGTATATTAGTAGCCTTGGGATCTGGGTCCAAGCCTGGGTTCTGCCATTGCTTAGTTATGTGCATTTTATGTCACTTTCTGGGCCATAGTATTCTTTTTTTTTTTTTTTGAGACAGAGTCTCTCTTTGTTGCCCAGGCTATAGTGAGTGCTGTGGCATCAGGCTAGCTCCACAGCAACCTCATCTCCTGGCTCAAGCAATCCTGCTGCCTCAGTCCCTGTACAGTGGGACTACAGGCATGGCCGCCACATGCCTGCTTAATTTTTTTTTTGTAATATATTTTTAGTTGTGCAATTATTCTTTCTATTTTTAGTAAGAGATGAGGTCTCACCTCAGGGCTGTTTGGAACTCCTGACCTGGGAGCAATCCGCTTGCCTCAGCCTCCCAGAGTGCTAGGATTACAGGCATGAGCCACCACGCCTGGCCCAGGCCACAGTATTCTTATCCATAAAATGATCGAATTGAGCTAAATAATCTGAGGTTTTTTTGTTTGTTTATTTGTTTTTTGAGACAGAGTCTCACTGTGTTGCCTGGGCTAGAGTGCCGTGGCATCAGCTTAGCTTACAGCAACCTCAAACTCCTGGGCTCAGGCGATCCTTCTGCCTCAGCCTCCCAAGTAGCTGGGACTATAGGCATGCACCACCATGCCCTATTTTTTTCTATATATTTTTAGTTTGCCAATTAATTTCTTTGTATTTTTAGTGGAGACAGGAGTCTCGCTCTTGCTCAGGCTGGTCTCAAACTCCTGAGTTCAAAGGATCCGCCTGCCTTGGCCTCCCAGAGTGCTAGGATTACAGGTGTGAGCCAACCCGCCTGGCCCTGAGCTTTCTTTGAGTTCTGCATTCAGTGATTCTAGCTATCAATCTAAGAAAGTTCTTGGAAAAATATACAAATTCTATCTTTAGAAAAAGACAACTGGGGCTGGCCATGGTAGCTCATGCCCGTAATAGGAACACTTTTGGGAGGTTGAGGTGGGAGGAGCACTTGAAGCCAGGAGTTTGACACCAGCCTGGGCAATGGTGAGACCCTGTCCCTACAAAAAATTTTTAAAAAATTAGCTGGATGTGGTGGTACATGCCTGTAGTCCCAGCTACTAGGAAGGCTGAGGTGAGAGGACCACTTGAGCTCAGGAATTTGAGGTTACGGTGAGTTATGGTTGTGCCACTGTAGAGAAAGAACGTATCTTATAAAACAAAAGACAACTGCAAACGTAATATTGTTTTATAGCTGTTAATTTAAATTTTTAAATTTACCTTAGCCAGTCTATTATGGTAGACATTTGTGTATCCCCACTTTTGGGGGGCTCCCTAGCATCTGTCTGTTCCCCTTTTCTGTATTAGAAGAATTCCCTACCTTTTGAGACTTGTGGAAGGCAGAGCCTGCCTATAAAAGAAATTGAAATATCCAAATACTGTCTTTCTTTAGCCTCATTCTGCTTGAGGGCAGGCATGTCACAGAGGTTTGGCAGATAACTTATTTTAGACTATGAATCAGGAGCAAGTCAAAGAATTGGAGGTGATAGAGAATCCACGGTGGCGATGGGCAGCAGCAACAATGCAGTACAATCTAGTTTCAGGGGTACCACTTGCAGGAGTGTAGCAGCTGCTTTCAGTTGCTGGTGCTGGTGGCTGCAGGTGACATGAACCATGGAATCTAATGTTGAGAATGGCTACAGTGGTATCTTCACTAGACCAGTTTTGGCTCTCATTCTGTGTGCCTCCCTTAACCCCTTTTGTTTCCCAGCCTGATTCTTTGGTGTAGGCTACCTGAAATCTCATCAGTAAATCAGTTTTCTGCTTAAATCAATCAAAATCGGTTTATGTTGCTTGTGAGCTAAGAGCATTGTATTATAGCACTGGTCTTTGGAATATGTTTTTTCTATGTCTTTTTTTTTTCTGTTTTCCTAAGATAAAGGTAATTTTGAATTGTACGCTCTTATGCATGTGAAAAATTATGGAGCAAATTGGTATTGTTTGCCATTTTAGGTGTGTTATGATTTGGGTGCAGCATACTTCCAGCAAGGCTCCACAAATTCAGCTGTCTATGAAAATGCCAGAGAAAAATTTTTTAGAACCAAAGAGCTAATTGCAGAGGTAAGTATAATCACATTTGGGCATTTAGGTAGTTTATTCTTTTTTTTTTTTTTTTTTTTTTGAGACAGGAGTCCGCTTCTTTTTGTCCAGGCGCAGTGAGTGCCGTGTGCGTCGAGCTCTAGCTTCAGGCAACCTCAAACTCCTGGGCGTTGAGCGATGCCTCCTGCCTCAGCCTCCCGAGTAGCTGGGTCTACAGGCCATGCATCCACGCATCGCCGGCTTAATTTTTGTATGTACTATATATATTCAGTTGGCCAGATTAAATTCTTTCTATTTATGAAGTAGGAACGGGGGTCTGCTCCTTGCTCAGGCTGGGTTTTGAACTCCTGACCTTGAGCAATCCGCCAGCCTCGGCCTGCCAAGAGGCTAGGATTACAGGCGTGAGCACCGCGCCCAGCCAAAGGTACGTGTATTCTTTATTATAAAGTTGCGATGTTTACATCTTCAAGCCTAAATTTTTGTTTAGATATTCGATGCTTTGAAGTTAAATTCCTACAAGTAAAATTACCATGTCAATGGTTATTTTTTAAAGGCTGTAATTTATAAAACCAAATTGTTTTCCTGGTATATTTCTCTCAGGGTACTCCAATCAGCAGTGTTTTTTTAAAAAAAAAATTTGGTCTATTTGATGGTGTGAAATATCAGGTATATACTATTTGCCTGTCTTAATACTGAAAGATTAAACTTTCACTGTTTCTTTTTTCTTTTTTTTTCTTTTTTGAGACAGACTGAGCTCTCTCTGTAGCCCTGGATATAGAGTGCTGTGGTGTCATCATAGCTCACTGCAACCTCAAACTCCTGGGCTCAAGCAATCCCTCTGCCTCTTCCTCCTAATTAGCTGAAACTACAGAAGCATGGCACCTGGCTAATTTTTCAATTTTTTTTTAGTACGAGATAGGTGTATTTACTCGTTGGCACAGGTGCTGGACTCCTAATCTCAGGTGATCCTCCTGCCTGGGACTCCCAGAGTGCTAGGATTAAGCGTGAGCCACCATGCCCAGCCCTCACTGTATTTCATTTGCATATTTCCTTTTATGATTCAGATGACTGAATTTTCAAATATACAACTAGGTTTTTGTATAGCTGGTGCCTAGAAAAAAATCCCACTTCAATCTCACCTTCTCTCCAATTAGAGGAAATTGCATTAAATGGCTAGAGATTAGATGTGATCTTTTCTATACCCATTAAGAATCCCCATTTTCACTCTGGGGGGGGGTTGGAGGTGCCGGAGACGGGCGGATTGCTCAATGTTCAGAGTTCAAACCAGCCTGAGCAGAAGTGTGACCCCATCTCTACTAATAGAAAGAATTAATTGGCCGAATAAATATATAGAAGAAGAATTAAGCCGGCAATGGTGTGTGCATGCCTGTAGTCCCAGCTACTGGGAGCTGAGGCAGAAGAATTGCTTGAGCCCAGGAGTTTAGAGTTGCTGTGAGCGAGTGACGCCACGCACTCACTCTGGCCTGGGTCAACAAAGTGAGGACTCCTTCTCAGAAAAAAAAAAAAGAGGCCTAAATAGTATGTTTTAGTTCTTGTGGGAATAATTCAGAATCTCTGTTGCATATTTTTTTTTTTGTACCTTTATAACCTTTAAATTGTTTTTTTATTTTGAGGCAGCTCCACTGTGTTGGCCTGGGAAGTGACCGGGTCGCCTAGCTCACAGCACCTCAAATCTCCTGGGCTCAAGCGATCCTCTTGCCTCAGCTCCCAATAGCTGGGACTACAGTGGTGTAGTCCACCGATGCCCAGTCTAATTTTTTTCTTTTTAGTAAGATGAGGTCTCGGCTTTTGCTCAGGCTGGTCTCGGACTTTTGAGCTCAAGCCATCGTCTGGGCACACGTGGCCTCCCAAAGTGCTAGGATTACAGGTGTGAGCCACTGCGCCCAGCCCCCTTTAAAATTGTTTACAATACTAAATTGTTCTTAGTTTAAGGGGTGATGATAAAAATCATGACAGCAGGTTGTGTGCAGGTATTTTGCTGATCTCTTTAGTTCAAACCTTAACCTTTTCATTTTTATGAGCTCCCTGATTTGAATTTTTTTTTTTTATTTGAATAGACAGACGTCTCACTTTGTTTGCCCAGGCTATGAGTGAGGCTTATATGCGTGGGCGGTCAGCCTGGCTCTCACATGCAACTCAATCACCTGGGCTCAAGCAATCCTTCTGCCTCAGCATCCATCTCGGTTAGCGGGATTTACAGTGCATGCACCAATGCCCGGCTAATTTGTTTCTATATATATTAGTTTGTGCCAATTAATTCTTTCTATTATAGTAGGAGACGGGTCTTTCGCTGCATTGTCTCAGGTCTGAGTTTTGAAATTCCGACCTCAAGCAAATCCGCTCCGCCTCAGGTACTCCCAGTAGTGCTTATGGATTTATCCATGGCTAGGCCACCTCGCTCCGAGTACCTGATTTTGAATTTTTATTAGCATTTTCTTGTACTATTAAAATGCACTAAGGGGGTGCTAGAATATTTATATTACTACATTAATGGATAATGGTGTATACCTCTTACTTTACAGATAGGTTCATTATCTCTTCATTGTACCATAGATGAGAAGCGGTTAGCTGGCTATTGTCAAGCATGTGATGTTCTTGTACCTTCTTCTGATAGTACATCTCAACAGTTGACTCCATATAGTCAAGTCCACATTTGTTTGAGATCTGGCAACTATCAGGTAAGATGTATGACAAGTATACACTAGTCATCATCTGAATAAATTCTGAAGCTTGGATGAACTGACCTCTCAAATCTGGCATCACGGCAGCTTACCAGCTTCGTGTGATTTGGGGCAAGTCACTTAAACTGTCAGACTGACCATATACATCAGTGTAACTCATCCCATTTCATAAAATTTTTATGAGAATCCAGAGTGAATGAGCATCTATAATAAATCTCTAAGACAAAGCCACCTGTAACATATGTTCATTTATTGATATTCTTTTCTGACAGGTATAGCAGCTTTGCACCATGTACATACAATTTCGTGTAAGAAACTCTGTAAGTAGAACCTTCAGCTTTTAAAATGACAGGTAGACAGCTTTTAGTTTTATCAGCCTGAAGGTATCTATTTCCTGGCTGTTCCTGGCTTTGATTAGCTTCTAACAATGTAGACCCTGATGGAGAAAAGGGAGCACAGCGAGCAACGGCATTTTGGTAGGATTCGTGTGCGATCAGTCCCAGCAGAGCCACCTTGCCAATTCAGCGCTCGTCGTCACTCACAGTTTTACTCATGCAAGAGGCTCTAATTATTATCTGTATGAGGTTTTTACTTGCCCTCTGGGTGCTTTTCTTTAGTTTTGTATGCACATCACCCAGGGAACATTCAGATATTTGTGCTTTTGAAATCTTTATTAGAAAGTCTTAGTTCTAAGGCTGGGCGCGGTGGCTCACGCTGTAATCCTAGCACTCTGGGAGGCCTGACGGTGGGCGGATTGCTCGAGGTCAGCGCAGCTTCGAAACCAGCCTGAGCAAGAGCGAGACCCCGTCTCTACTACTACTGACAAGACATATTGGCCAACTAATATATATGGAAAAGAATAATTAGCTGGGCTGGTGGCCGCCATGCCTGTAGTCCTACGCGCTACTTGAGAGACTGAGGCAGAGGATTTGCTTGGAGCAGGAGTTTTGCAGTTGCTGTGAGCTAGCTTGACTGCATCGGCACTCAAACTCTAGCTAGGCAACAAGTGACACTCTGTCCTCAAAAAACAAAAAACAAGAAAGAAAGCTCCTTAGTTCCTAGACGAGGTGAATTCAATATCGAACTCAAATTACTTTGAACCAGCTAATGATTATCATTTAACTCAAAACAGGAGTCATAAAATGACAAAGCTGTAACTTATTTTTAGTCTTGTGTCTCCAGTTGGGTTTTATACCACCTTTATAGTTTACTCTTCTCATCTAGAGTTTCTTTTTTTTTTTTTTTTCATAGAAAATAGATAAAAGAGAGGGAGATGATAGCACTTCCTCACCCTTTCCTTGGCCCTTTTTAAAAATATTGCTTGCCCTAGGGAAGAAAATTAAACTCTCTTGAAGATGAAATACAGATGCAGGTGAATTTATTAAAGTCTAGAGATCTGTCTGTTACATCTCCCTAAAAGGGGCTTATGGAGGGGAGGGGAAGGATCAGTTGTGGTAAGATATAGAAAATTGGTTCTTTAAGAAGCTTACTAGAGTGGTAAGACCTGTATAAACCAGAACTGAGGACTATTATCCAGAGACAGGCTCGTGTTACTGTGAATATGATAAAAGTGCCAAAATATGTCAATCTCAAAATAGTGTAATGGATAGCCAAGGAGGGGAAAATAGCCATTTTGTTGCATCTTTGAAATCCATCACTTTAGTTATGTATGTAGAAGTATCTTAGGAATTGAATTTGTTATATTTGAATAGGATTCTCTTATATTATCTCTCTTATATTATCTCTCTTATATTATCAAGGCTGTTAACAGGTGTGTCTTCTCACATATGGGAAGTGGCTGTCTTGCGTCTGCGGAGCCCTACATGCTCATGTTTTGCTAATGTAGG